CTCGCCGCGGGGGCGGCCCGGGGGTGAGGAGGGGTGTCCGGCGGGCGACGGGGCACGACTGCCCCGCAGGTGGCACCGGATCGCGACCCGCGGGGGACGCGGGGCGTCCCGCGGGCCACAGGCCACTCATGACCCACGGGTGACACGGGGCTCAGGTCCCACAGGTATCGAGGCACGCCTGCCACGCAGGTGACACCAGGCTCCTGTCCCACGGGTGACACCAGGCCCATATCCCACAGGTGACGCGGGGCCCGTGTCCCATATGTGACACTGGGCCTATGTCCCACAAGTGACAGGGGCTCCTGTCCCACGAGTGACGCCAGGCTCGTGTCCCATAGGTGACACGGGCTCCCATCCCATGGCTGACGGCGGGGTCCTGTCCCACAGTTGACACGGGCCCCTGCCCCACGGGTGACACCGGGGCTGCAGGAGGGCCAGCGTCGCTGCCCCGTGTCCCCCCGGCCATGGCCATGCCTGGGCTGGCCCCGAGCTGCGCTGTGGCTCCCACGGGCGAGCCGACCGACGCGACCCAGCAGCAGCTCCCTCAGGTCCCTCGTGAGCCACACGCTGCCAAACTCGGGGTCGTCTTCATCGTCACCTTCTTCTCCCAGACAAGGAAAACCCTTCCACTGGCTTCTCCTTCTGCCTGCTCCCGTGGGGAGGCACGACGGCGGTGCTCGTCCTTCGGTTGCTTCCACTTTTGCTTTTTTTTTTTTTAATTGTCTTTTAGCTTTTATCCCAGTGACGGGCCGGGTTTAATTCAAAGAAAAGGCACGACTCCACGTCCCGCAGGCCGAGAACGAGACAAGCTCCTTCGCTTTTCGCTGATGGTCCTTCTGTGCGACGAGAGTCCCCGTTTCCCTTTGGGACAGCGGAGCTGTGGAGAGGATGGTTGGGATGCTCCAAATACGTCAACGTCACAGACGAGATCCCGATCCTCAGTGCCCTGCTCCCCCCAGGAATCCCCGGGATGTTTTGTACCGTCATAAAATATCCCCGACATCTGAGCAAAGGTGAGTTCTGCCGGACGGATCAAAGGAGGGAATTCCCATTCCTGGGAATGGGAAGCCGAGCTGTGTTGGGTTTTCGCTGTGATTTCTTGCCCCTGCACCTCCCCGAGGTCCAGGTAGGTGCATCCACTGGATGATGCCGACGGAGGGAGAGACACCGCTACACCCAGAGGCTTTACACGGGATTAGCTGAACATTGGTAACTCATCCAGCGTGGGGAGGCAGGAGACTTCCTTCTCTGCCAGAGGATTACCGCGCACGCGTTACTAGATACAGGCAATCTTTTCCTCTTCAGCAGGTATTTTCAGTTTTAGGACCAAAATGAGTTTTTCGCCACCGCTTCTGGTGCAGGGAGGACGCAGGGGGAACTTCTGGCCCTACTCAACGTAGCGGCCAAACTCCTCTATATTTAAATTACAGTTCATAGACGCCCTACACAGAGCAGCCGCATTCACCGTCTCCCGTGCAGACACCGTCCTCTGCCTCTCCTATCCCAGGGAAGGTGGGTTTCCTATGGTGGTTGCAACCGGGCTGTTTTTCCTGGTTATCCAGGAAAATCCAGAATATGGCCGTATTCTGCGGGCGATTGCCAGCGCCGCAGCAGATTGCCTTCACCAAATGCTTAAAAGCGGGTGCGGTAGATGTGCCGCTCACCCAGCACAATGGGTCTGAGAGAGAAACACCCACCAGAAAGTGCCTTTTCTAAAGAAAGGCGCCCACGAGAAACCAAGAGGCAGAAAGCAGCAAACCGATCCTCTTGTCTTCTTAAGCTCACTTTCCAAATGTCCCGACAGCAAAGAATTTCTGTTGTTCCGCACATATGTGGATATGAACTGCTGGATTTTGGAACAGGAGGAGATTTTTAACCAATAAAAAATGTCTGAATGTAAAGGTCGTCAGAAAGGAACTTATGGCTCCTTTCTGGACGTGGTTTTCTGGGGTATTTTTGATGGAATTGACCTTGGAAAGTGTTTTTTTCTGATCTGGGGGGCATTTCTGATAATTCCCTTATTGGTACCATCAGGATATTTGAAATCCTTCCCATCCTTTAAGGCCAAATAAAATAGTGTGGGCCAGGAGAGCAGGTCCCAGATGAGAACGGGTCGGAGCATCACACGAGGGGGGGGGCAGGACCCCCAACCTCCGATGGATGGACCAGAAATGCAGCCAGAGCCACGGATGAGACGTATGGGCACCGGCGGACACAGAAGCCATCGGTGTCCGTGTTCGCCTGTGCCGCGAGGCTGCAGAGGCACAGGGGGTGGCCCTGCTGAGCACCGCTCCTGCTGAGGCGCTGAGAAACCCAGAAAAGCCCCAAATCGGCCCAATCCCAGGTGAACGTGGCAGTTGGCTCTGGAGAGGGGATGGTCACCCAGCCCAGGTCCCACACACGTCACCCTGCCGTGCTCGCTCCCCCGTTTCTCATCAGTCTCACATCTCTTGCAGCTGCCACAGCAGCTCCTCAGTCTCCTTCACCCTCATCTGTCCCGTTTCCACCTCCACGGGCTGTTCAGGGTCCGGCGTTCCCGGTCCGTGGCTTTGCTCCATGACTCTGCCCAGCTGGACGTGAGGACACAGAGGCTGGAGAGGCGTTTGCTGTCCGGGTCTGGTGCTGCGACCCCAGGGAAGGGACCAGGTCCCCTCCTGTCCCTGCTTACCCGGCTGCCCGCCGCCGTGGGATTTCAACGTGAGGAACATCTCCCCGGGTTTATATAGCAGCTGGACCCAAACCAACTGACAAATCAGGTGCTCCACAAATACCGATTTGAAAAGCAGACAGGCAAAAGCAGCAGAGGAAGTCTTATTCTCTGTGTTAATATAATTTTAAACCCCACGCCTCCGAGGATCAGGAATACAGGGCTTCCTGCCTTAGAAACCCTGTTCTTCTGCTCCATTTAAAAAAAAGTGAACCAGCGCCTGTTCCCGGACCGGGTCGTGCTCAAATAAAGTGACTAACTTTGACAGAGGGACAGAAAATTGGGAGATGATGCAGCAGCAAAGTTACTGATGAACAACAGAATGGAGTGCGATGTACTAGTAACAAGCTGTGGGTGTTCGTAAAGACCAGGTGCCAAAAATATTCCCGGGCTGGAAATCCTGAGGTACTATCAACTCCCAGCGTTCGCTGCATTGCTGCCATTCGGACACAGAACGAAGTATTGCAGCTTACAAGTCACCTTTCATGAATGCTTTGCCTTTCTCTGGAGACATCTAAAGCTCAGCCCACCTCTAACAAAGCTTCGTTTCACCGCTAGGAAGCGTACAGCCTAAATCACCCGTATTCGAGCCGACACAGAGAAACTGCAACCGAGACACAGGAAGAATAACTCGGCTCTCGCTGCCGTGCGAAAAGCAGGGCGGGAAGTGGGCTACAGAGCAGAGAACGTAACTACGGGACTGCATTTGTACGCACAATCATAAAAGTCCAGGATTAAAAGAAACATGGGGGGAAAAAAAAGGGGGGGAGGCAACTAGGTGTAGGAAAGGGTTAAGCTCAGCGTCACTTTTACAGCCAAACTTGGCTCTCAAAAAAATTACTGGATTAGGCGAATATAGTGGACAAAAATGAGCACCAAAAGCTTTAATCCAAGATGACTGTATACGCAGCAAGAGGAATTCCTACACAGCCGTGACTCTCAGCCTTCCTGGCAAGCTTTTCCTCCAGGTCTGAAAGTATAGCGAGGTCCGCAATCGTTTCTCTCCTGAGCCGACAACAGTTGCAGCCACAAACAATGTTAGGAGCTGCTATGGAAGGCGGAATAAAAAACAGAAAAAAAAAAAGTCTGCTCCGTACCTGGGAGCTTGCTGAATCTCCTGTTGAGCTGACGATGGAACGGAAACGTTTTTGGAGACCTCACCGCACGCCCCTAACGTCGGGTGTAACACCCCACACCTCACCCCCCCAAAAAATCCAGCCCAGGAAGATACACTGGCAGCCCGCTCCGCTGGAAGCCTGCGGCAGATTCACAGGCGACACCAGGCTCACCAGCTACCGCAGGAGAGAAAACAGCCCCCACGTCCCCCGGGGTCGGTCCTTAAACCTCTCTCCAGCTCCGCTGCACTCGCCCACCTCCTGAAGGATGAATTCCAACGCTGACCCAGAGGACCTGGGGATAAGCCTGCTTTTAAAAGTAGTTTATTTGGATTTTCCACATCCTTTAATGAATCGCAAATATATTAACAGAAAAGACTTTTTTTTTTTTTCCCCCCTAAGACTGTACAATTTTTGAAATAAAAAGTCAGGAAAAGCAAAAAAAAAAAAAAAAAAAAAAGGGAAAAAGACAAATTACATTGTTTCAATGCAAATAGTACACACCACACCCACACTTTGCATTTTCCCATAGTTTTGTTGTAAGAAAATGACAGTTCCCCAATTCTTTTCAGTGAACGCACTTGCTCTAACCTGGCTGCCAGAGTGCCTTCGTGCTCGCCGTCCTTCTCCCTGCCCCTCTTCAAAGAGAGCAAAAGTTTAGTGATTAAATATTAGTTTTGTGTATCTATTCAGAAGGTAAAATAGCAGCATGGTCTAAACTTTACTTGAGATTATTGGCAAAAAAAGAAAAAAAAAATCACTTTAAGGTATGATGTACATATAAAGCAAGGGACAGTTCTAAGTATTAAATCTTCCAGGTAGCACGAATATCCTTTTAACATCCCGGCTGAATGAAGAGCTCTTTCCAGGGTGTGGAAAATTCTACTACGATTGTTCGCAATTTTTAGAGAACAGAAGGGAAAAAGCCACCGAACTTCCCAGATCTCTGGTCCCCATTTAAACAGCAGCGTTTGTTACGGGAAAGTCTTGAGAGCAGCACCTGCTTACTCCCGCTTTTTGCTTAGAAAAATATGTTGGGAACCAAACGGAAGCCAATTAACACGTTAATCGGTGGCGTTCAGACAAGTGCTGCCTCCAGACCTGACGCTGAGGCGCCGCGTAGGAACTCCTCCTTGCGAGGGACGCACTGGGAAGCTGCAAGCGCACCCCGCGGCCGGATGGGAAAACCCCACGCCAGGACAGACACGGGTAACTCGAGCACCGCGCGCGAACTCTGCCGTAGATGCAGATCAGCTCTCGGGAAATTTGAACCCCGTGTCTTCCTCGGGGAGGACTCATCAGGAAAGGGAATCACCCCAGAATATCTATCGCCACAAAAAGCGGTGCAAGATTCAGCACGCTCAAGCCAGCTGAAACGTGTCGTGATCTTCCAGTCAATTCATCAACCTTCCAGACACAAGCTGATCAGAAGTAGATGGCAGAGGCACAAAGCTCCTTTAATATATTATCATCGTTCGGATTTTAGAAATTCCTTTTCACGTTATTAGGGGAGTTTAAGCCTATTTTTCACTGCTTATCCTCCTACTTCAAAAAAAAAAAAAAATCAGAGAATTATATTTTCGCTCAGCACTTGAGGATTATTTTCCAAATGACAAAGGTGTCCATGTGGCTCATGACCAGAGAGGAGCTGTGACAGAAGACATGCCTAGTGTAAGACAAGGACAGAATTTAAAAAACCTGAAGTTCCAAAGGTAACTAAAAGACCCCTAAAAACCAATACGCTAAAAAAAAAAAAAAAGGAACATTAAGACTGATCACAACAAATATGTTGCTATGAAATTTATATCATTCCCAATTTATTCTGCATAAATTGCTCTTTAAAACTGCTTATATCATACACTTTCTTTGTCATCGCTGCATAAAGGGCACCAATTGTTGCTGCAGAATGCTACAGAGCAAGGTCATTTTGGACTCGATAACGTGGCGTAGCTTTCCTCTCACAGAAGCAGCCTCTGCAGAAGAGGAAAGTGTTCCTAGGGTGAGAATCTAACAAACAGCTAAAAAAAAAAAAGGGGGGGACAGATAATTGCACATTTTTGCATCCTGCTTGGACCACGCTTTACAAGACAGTTTTAAAAGTGATACTAATCTTAGACAATTATTTGATGTGTTTGACTAAGGTTCTGATCGCATTAAGGCTTCCACGGTCTTCCCAGTCTAGCTGCTTAGAAACACGCAGTCACTCTGGATTAAGAGTTTGATGTTTTCACATTACAGTTCTACGTACGTTTCTCTCTTGATTTTGCCCTTTATTAATTTTTATTCTTCAGAGGGGAAGAACAAGTCAAGGGGTATGTGTAAAATGAAGCAAGGTGGTGTTGACTTGTTTCTTTGAAGTACAAGGTAAACACTGACCTTTCAGAAACTAGGCGAATAAATTAATTCTTGGTTAGAACATGAAAGCATTTCATGAAAGCTTTGATTCTGCAATGTGATTCTCCTGCTACATTTCCACTCCTGCAAGTTTGCACTCTTAAGTAGGGACACTGGATATTTTACGTAGTCTGACACGCTCCCAGTTCTGAGCACGTGCGTTGTGTTTGTTCACTGGAGACGCTGCAGCTTTAAGGTCGTTTACATTCCCTGGCATTTAAGTTACACTACAATATGCAAAAGTCTTTAACAGCCTGCGTTTGTCAACACTGTCCTCGAAGAACTTGGAAATGAAGTTCAGCACTCTGCTTACCAAGAAAGAACCAAACTAAGACACATTTCTGGAAAAAGAACAAGACACTGCTTCATTAGTACTATCCCCACATCTACTGGCTTCGTTACAGCAAACCACAAGTCTTTCTTCCATGATATTTTTCCAGCAAAGGGGAGTCCAAAACCAGCATTTCCTCCTCAGTCACTTTCATAAATGTGTAAGAGCCAACTAGTCAGACTCAGTAGCAGCTGAATATTGCACTGCCATTAACTCTGTACAGTTTAAGTCTGAGTGGTGTACTCATGGTGTCAGTGGAGAATAATGACAATGCTGGCTCAGTGATGTGAAGACCCAGGATGCGAAGGAAGGGGAGAACACAACAGTACCAGTCACACACTCAAGCTCAGATACTGGCTTTTGGAGGTTAAAATTCATCACTTTCAACTGCGTGGAGCTGTGTGTCGTCTGCATCCGTCATGCTGCTTTCTTGGGATTCATCTGTGCCAACTTGAAAGAAAAAGAAACACAGAGTAGTCATAGAATCATAGCATCATTAAGGTTGGAAAAGACCTCTAAGATCATCGAGTCCAACCATCGACCCAACACC